TGGGGCCACGCCGAGGCCTCCGCTCCGCGGCCCCGTCCCGCCCCCGCGGGCCCGCCCTCCACCTGCAGGAAGAGCTCGTAGAGGATCTCCTCCCGCACGCGGCTCTCCAGGTTCCCCACGAACAGCGTCCGGTCCGCCTCCTCGGACCGCCCCGGACAGGACATGGCGGCGCCGCCGCCGCCGCCGGCTCCCGTCGAGGGAGGGGACGGGGGAAAGCGGCCGCGCTGCCGTAAAGCGCCGCGCCGCTCGTTGCTAGGGAGCGGGCTGCGTGTCCTAGCAACGCGGGAGCGCCGCCGGGCGGGCTGCCGGCTGAGGGGGGAGCGCTGCCCCCTCCCCGGGGTGCGGCTGGGGGCCGGCGCTGGCGGGGCGGGAGGAAATGGCCTCGCTGTGGGGGGAGAGCGCAGGGGGGAGCAGGGGGAGGCTGTGGCTGACAGGGCAGGGCCAGCCGGGAAGGCCTTCCTAACGACACGTGCTTCAGAATCATGGAATAGGAATGGGTTAGGTTGGAAGGGACCGTAAAGATCATCGAGTTCCAACCCCCCTGCCCTGGGCAGGGACACCTCCCACTAGACCAAGTTACTCAAAGCGCCATCCAGCCTGGGCCTGAACACCTCCAGGGATGGGGCATCCACAGCTTCTCTGGGCAACCTGTTCCAGTGTCTCACCACCTTCACAGTAAAGAATTTCTTCCTGAGATCTAATCTCAATCTCCCCCCTTTCAGTTTAAAACTGTTACCCCCTCATCCTATCGCTACGCTCCCTGATTTAAGAGTCCCTCCCCATCTTTCCTGTAGGTCCCCTTCAGGTACTGGAAGGCTGCTATGAGGTCACCCCAGAGCCTTTTCTTCTCCAGGCTGAACAACCCAAATTCTCTCAGCCTGTCTTCATAGGAGAGGTGCTCCAGCCCTCTGATCATCTTTGTGGCCCTCTTCTGGACTCTCTCCAACAGGTCCATGTCCTTCTTGTACTGAGGACTCCAAAGCTGCATGCAGTACTCCAGGTGGGGTCTCACCAGAGAGGAAAAAAAAAAACCTTTAAAGCCCTCAAGTGTTTTAGTCATCAGCGTGATAAAGTGTTGTGATAGCAATAAAATAAACATGTAAGGTGTCGGATGTGGTACATTTCTCAAGATTTAAAAAGAACTGGATTATGATGTCTTTAAAGCTGAAGTGATACCTGCCTTATAACCCACTGTTGGGTGGTTGCTACAAACAGGTTTCAAGCACGTATACACATTTAACATTCTGTATATATTTTTAAAGAGTTATTTTACAAAGGAGCATGTTTTCAGAAGTCATCCTGATGACAGCAATGTGAAAAATATTCTTAAAGATTTTTTTTTTCCCAAGCATAGGTGGTGTGCTTGGCATCAGTGCCCATTATTTCCTAATGACAGCTTAGTTAGTTACTTGCCAAGTCTATTTAGAAAGGGATTATCAGTTTACAGGAATTACAAGCCTCAGGGTAGAATACATAGTGAGTCTTAAAATTCTTCCAACCAGTCAGGGTTTTTCCCTGACTTGTTTGTAACCTTTGTAACCTTTAGACAGATTTTTGGGGGTTTTTTGTTTTGTTTTTTTTTCATCGTTAAATATACTGCATTGCAAAAGCCGGGTTGTGATTTTGTCTTCCCTGAAAGGGAGCAGCACTCTTAAGTTAGCGGTTAGAGAGGAATTTTTCTGGAGAAGTGGTTTGATTCATAAGAAAAATGAGAATTGTTATGAGAATAGGATTTCCCAAGATTACGAAATCCTTGAGGGTAGAGAGAAGATTAGGAGGGGAAATAAATTTAGATATGACCACAGATCATGATATCAAGGCTTGCGTAAGAATTTGATCTTAATCTTGACAACCATGCTGTAATGTTTCTAGCTGTTATTTTATCAGAAACTTTTGGGTGTAAACTGAAGTGTAGAACCGCTATTCTGTTACCTGTAAATCATAGTAATCTTGTACTGTAATAAAGTGAAGTTTGTATATGTTGGGTTTTTTTTTTTCAACTTGAATACTTGGCCAATCTTGAGGGGTTTTTAATCAAACAACGTGTGGACTGTGGGATCTCCCCAGAGCATCAGGGTTCGTTCAGGAGCTGCAAGTCCTGCGATCCTGAGCGCTGTGGTGCACGGAGCGCTGAGGAGGGAGTGCTGGCATCCTCCACTGGTCCACAGAAGGCACTGTCAGAGCGGGCAAGTCTGAATTTCAGTGTGAGAAGTGATTCCTTGTGAGAAAGGCAGTGGGCAGAACCATACGCAGCAAAGCGGGGTGGGCAGTAGCTGAAGTTTGAGGGTCTTGCATCTGTTTGTGACAGTGTACCTGAAACTCAGAGTTGCCTTGAAGGATTTACCTGACAGTGGGATGTCAGCAGAAACTACAGTGTAAACAGTAGTTACAGATTTAAGGTAGTTAAGATTTCTAAGTGGCGTAAGTGCCTCGTTGGTGAACAAAGTCCCCTTGTCATGCAACAGAGGGGTGAGTCCAACAAGCCCTGGTTCAACACCCTGGTTAATAACACAAAACTTTCTGGGCATTGATTTAAAGGAATCCTTTCCTGAAACTGATTACAGAGGGCTTTGAAACTGTTTTATGGGTTGTTATGTTGACATGGGTAGCACAGTACTTTACCTCCATATGAGCTGGGCTTACTGGTTTTCAGTTCAGGAGGGAGCTTAACATTTCCTGTTTTTTTTCCCCCAGTCAAGTGTAAAAGAACAAGGGCAAATTGCTTAGCAACTAGTGTCATCAGGTATATGTAAAGGTACACATATAAAATTTTCTTCTATGATCAGGTGATTTGCTCTTGGATGAGCACAGCAGATATTTTACCGGGGCTATTACCAGTTTGTTTTCGGTGCTGTTGAGCTTTCTGTGCTTTAACTTGTATATGAATGCATACTGCACGCTGAGTGCATGCTGAGGCTGCCTAAGTGGTGATTGCTTGAATGCACTAAGTTTTTGTTGTAACAATAATCTATATTAAAAAGCAGAGAGGGGGAAGGAGACAAATTGACACTATACCATAACTTGTTCTAAGTAGTATGTAAGGCTAGTAGGGCTGTGGTTTTATAATAATAGTTGGACAAAGCATAGAAGTTTTGAGATTAAGAGGAAATGCAAAGGAATAACAAGAGCTGCCTTAGTGAACTTTACTAAGAATGGGGTGACAAATTTGAGAAACGAAAGCAAAATACTAAGAAAAGGTTACTGGTTAAGCTGAGTTGATTTTCATATGAGTGGACATTCTGCATCTTCATCTCCTTGTGGCACCGTTCAAAGGGGAAAAGACTTTGAAGAGATTTCCTAAAGGCTGTCCTCTGCAGGAGCTCCTGTAGCATGCCTTTCTTTGGCTGCCCAGAATCACAAAGCCAGCTGAAGAGACTGATCACTGAAATAATGAAACACACACACATCACCTTAACTGTTGTGGGTGGAAAAGAAGGAGACTTAGACCTTATGTTTCCAAGCACTGTGAAGGATACACTATGCAAAAAAACATTTCTGAGATGGCGTAAGAAACTGGATGTGAGAACCCAACAGGTCTCTCATATTTGAGTGGTTATGGTTTGTTTTCCTTTCTCCTGCAATGGAAATAATTGGGGGTCAGATAGAGGCAAAATGAGCATTCCGACGTCTCACTTGAGTAATGCAGAATTTATCTGCCTCTTTGCCTCACCGTGAACCCCAAGAAAATGATGTTTGTCCTCTTGTATATTTACCCAGTGAATTGGTTTGTAAATAAATGAGCTTCACACAAAAAATATGTTTCTTCATCTGTTTTGTGCTTGAGGACCCAGAAGGAATGAAGTAGTTACATACCCAAAACACCCAGTGAGTGTCTGGGTGATATTTGCGGGGCTCTAAGTTCCATCTTTGTCCCATAAGTGCACTTTCATAGACCTCCTCTGCATTTGGATTAGAGAATGACTCCTTGGAAAAAGCTCAGAAAATAATTTTGTGCAAAAATAATCCATGGAGATAGAGTTCTTAGAATTACTTTCAAGTTCTTACAGAAAAATTCTTCTGCCACCAGAATGACTTTTTGTTCTAAGTTTCTTTTGCCCATCTCAGTGCCTTTAATTGCAATTAAGTGACACACTTAAAAAAAAATGGGCTGTGGGTCTCTAATGGGCTGTACCTCTAGTCACTCTGCTTCCTAAATTCCACGTAACAGAGTTGTCAGTAATAATAACATCAGTTGCTTACGTGTAAATCTGCTGATAGGCAAAGAGAGAGGGAAATAGATTGAAAACCAGTCCCAACCCTTAAAGACCAGAAACCACCCTACCTACTGAAGTCATTCAATAGGAGGAGTCATGAATTGCAGAAGCTTGAGTACAGCTTTCCTTTCTGCTTCCTACTCTATATGACACTTACTTCATTAGTGGCATTCAGTTAGGTTAGAGATCTAGCATACTGTAAGGACACACTAGATTTGCCACTTATCTGTGGATATTACCTATTGCTTTTTCTCCATTTCCACATGCTGAAATTGTGTTTCTTCATCTGTTTGATATACTGGGTAAAATCAGGTAAGAACCATTAGCTTATTACTTCTGATGTAGTCTCTTGGCTTTATTCAAGCATTAAATAAAAGAATATTCCTTCATTTGAACTGCCAAAAGATTCAAACTTGTGAAATATGCCTAATGGAGTAGATTAGTAAAGAGAATTTGATCACTTTGAAACTGAGATGTGTATTTTCATTTTAAAGTAAATAGAACAGAGCCCGATACTTTATCTTGGGCTGTACTTTGCACAGAGAGACACTCAGGTATGTGCACTTTGTACAAAGTAAACAGGTAATTGTGAAATAGTTCTAATGTACTAATGTAAGTTTATTGTTTATTGCTGATTTGATAGGTTGACAGGTTTCCAAATTATGCATTATGCATTAAATAGCAAAATTTAGTTACAAAAAACATCAGCAT